CATAGGAATGCAACACATTGGTGATCTTATACATGGATAGATAAAATTGCACCCTACGATAGTTAACATCTCTACATCCAAGAGCCAATAAAATCACGGCTTTGGCGCCTTTCTCGGGTGCAAGTATGAGCAAGACGAAGTAGAATTCTAACGAGACTAATCGCCTTAAATCATCATGGCCTGCATACGTTATCGTAACTACAGTAAATAACAATTAACAAAGGGAAATATAATTTCAACATTTAAATTGTAACTATCTCAAAATTTTGCCTTGCCAAAGAGATTCTAAATGAACACCCTTTTGCAGTATTTACAGTGCATAACTTGACTCAATATATGATTACAGGAATATTGATTACTTTTTCTTATATCCAAGAAAATTCAAATATATATAAACAAAAGAATGCTAACCTGATAATTTGAGACATTCTCAATATTTAATGGATAAAATATTCAATATCCTCAAACACTTAGCTACCTGATAAAAGAGAAAAATACCACTTATGTATCACAGAAGTAGTCTCCAAGCAGACCCCTAAGTATTTGCATAAGTTGATTAATAATTCTAAACTGTAAGGTTGCCATTATTGTTGATAGTTATTTACATAACCAGTGAACGAATAAACAGCCATTCACCACTTGAAGTGAGCGTTTGCCACACGATAAAACAAATGTTATCCAATAATCACATACCACAAATATAAACCTAAAATGGAAGTATGCATCTTTTCCACCATATACCTAGCTTATAGTACACCAGTATCATGAGTTATGCTGTTTCCCATTATTCCCCATCCATTTTGTGCTGTTTGGCTACACTATAGAGGATGTAAAAGTCATTTCTGATAGATTTTGCCTACCGCATATAAACGTTCCCAAACAAAAAATACACACAAAAACAACATAGTAGCAAAATACGCAATTCCTAGCTAAACATATGTATAGTTTTGTTAGCCATGGCATGATGTGTCGACTCTTCTCAACATCATATCCATAACCAACACATTCATGAACAATCTAGACAGTGACAATTGAAACAAATCATTGCGCAAACTTATGCAAAATCAAATTTGCAACTTAAGTAGTTTTGAATTCATTTGACATAATTTGAATCACTGAATCAACCATGTCAGAAAAAATATTCAATAAAAGCATTACAAAACATAACTCTCATCTCTTTCTTTTTTTCCTTAGATATATATATAAAATGGTCAGCACTTCGGTGAGATCATGCACAGAATACAAGCCATCACAAGCGATGAAACAATTGAAATGAAGGGAGGGGGGGAAAGCTAGAAAAGGAGGACAAGGTTCCACGCAAATGTCAAGAATAGAAGAGAGTCGCTTGTATCTTGTTTGCAGCTCCTTTCAAAGATCTTTTTAACGAAAGAATCAATGACTTGCATTCTTAACAATCTCACTTGTGGAACTTTGAAACATCTAGACAAAGAAAGGAGAGAGAAAGAGAGAGAAGATGTGAAAAGAGCAAGAACTTAGAGAGACGGAGGAAGAAGAAGAAGCAGAGATGGAAGATGAAAAACAGAAGAGGGGACGGGAAAGAATAGACAAGAGAGCAAGAGAAAGAGAGAGATAGAGAGACAAATAAATAGAGAGGGGAAGAAAGAGATAGAAAGAAAGAGAAGACGGCTAAGAATAATAACAAAGCTGAGTAAAACAAGTTGGAAGATATGGAGGCTCTTTCAATCAATTTTTTCTTTCTTTCTTTGAGTAATACAATTGAGATAAGGATCTGATTATCTCTCAATGTTACAAGAGATATTGATTAGCATGTAATCTGACAAATAAAAGCTTCAAAGAAATTTACCCCGATCTGTGAATTAATTGCTACTTTTTCATACTGCTACATCCGTCATCAATTTGCATTGGTTTGTCAAAAATTTGAATGTTAATATGGTAAAAATTTTGTAAACAGATTTATGTAGAAAAAGAGTAATGTCTGCACTATTTCTGCCACCCCCCCCCAGAAAAAAGCGGTTAAAACTTTAATCAAAGTATGAATACTATTCAGTGAATGCAGATGAGAACTGATGTGGTAAAAAGAGAAGTCTCAAATTTTGAGAGGAAGAGAAAGAGTCCTTCAACTTTGATTCAAGGCTAAATGGAAAATGTGCATCCCTTCCTAAAATCAGCTTTACACTTTAAAAAATTTGAAATAATGTACATTAACAAGCTCAGTAAATAAATTAACTACAATGTGCTGCTTCTCCACTAGTAGTAATAAAATGAACACACCGCTAGAAATGCTTCAAGAATTTCTCCTTTTTTTTCCGGCAACAAATTATAATATCACACACTCAAACTTATGGTATGACATTATCTTGTACATCTCAACAGTACTATTCGAGCCACAATTATCAAGCAAAATCATCTTTCAAAACAGACCAAAGTGGGATCATACATAAGATATGATTCGTATGAGTCTTTAAAAAGAAATTGAAGTACAAAAATCTGTTCGTACCGATCACTTCCCTCACTGGCAGCCACTTTCAATTTTAAAAGTCAAACAAATGTGACACATGTCAGATTCCTTGAGAGGAAAAACATACAACGGTTTTGCCCCTGATACACCAGACACAGGAGAAAATAAACATTTTGATGGTTTGATGTCAGTAAAGAAATGATGTTATTTCTTCCATCTGCAAATTAGATTTGTTATTATCTAGATTTGCAGACACCAATTAGATGTTCTTGCCTCAATACAAGAATATCAGATGTAGCTCTAGCTCTAGTTCTTGGCATAAGGTATGTTACACATCTTCTTTGGGTGACAACTTCTTATTCACCATGGCATTTTGATAAGTTTAACTTGAACGAAATACAGCCATACAAAAATGCCCTGTCTATACCTGCACAATATGTTGTATTCAGAAGTTGATTGCTTGCATTTGCTATTCTTCCTTTTGTTTCTTCTCCTTCAACTTACATACACAAAAAATTCTTGGAATACACATAAATATATTTACACGTTTCTTTGCAACATTGTTATCAAGAGTATAGAACAATTTAGGTATAAATCATATGTTATTACTGTCAGTTAACAAACACAAGTTTGCTTCAAGTTCTCATGTCTTCCTACATGTTATCATTCTTATATTAAATGAATGTTTATTTCATACTATTGATTTTCTTACATAATATTAGGGCTGCATTTGTACAGAAAGCAAAGGAGTCAATAAAAGGAAGAAGAGATCTAAAAAGAAAATGGTTTTGGAGACAAGAACAAACCTCTAAAAGGTATTCTGTCTTGTTGTTGTTTGTTCCCAGAGATATAAAAAAAAAAAAAGGGATATGATACCTCCAAGTGGAGTGGAATATATTCCACATTTCTCGTTATAGCAGCCAGAGTATACAGGGTTGCTGTACATTGAAGGTCTCTAGACACACCACAGTCCTTACAAAGATGTCATAAACAGCCACAATGGCTTCAATCGGGCCCCTGCTCAAGATCGGGGATGCCTTGGTATACCAGCGATGGGAGGGAGTTTTGATATAGAGGTCTAGATGTGTTCCCAAGACATGTTTATATTCCACATATGTAACATAACAGAGATAGTAGCACATGAGAGTCAACGTCTGTCATGGAATAAAACCACTTTCCAACAGAGGTATCAAGTTATTCACATCTTATTTTCATATGAGAGGTAACGTCTTCATTCAAAAGTTTTGTTTATCTACAAGCTTTTTTTTTTGGTGATACTGCAACAACAAAAAGAGCTAAAACTTATCCTCCACCACATATACCATAAGGAGTGCTTGGTAAAAATCAGAACGAGTATAAAAACACTGAATTTACATTGCATTCAACAGAATCTTCATTGTTCTTTCGTGTATATACATCTCTACCAAGTATCAAAGTCAAAACTTTACTCGGATTCAGTGTCATTAAGTCTCTCACATGGAAATAAGCATGAAAAAGTAACAACAAATATCTGTTTACTTAATATAAACAACAACAACAACAACAGAAGACAGCTTAGAAAGTAATTCTATACCAATCCTTACATCAATGCTTTGTGTGTCTCTGTGTACTTGGCTTTCATCTGAGACTGGAGTCTCATATATGTTAAACATCGCTACACGAAAAAGAAAAAAATATATAACAACAACTGAAAATTAAAAGTAAAGTGTCTAAAATAGGGAATGATCACACATAAGAACTATTACTTGTAAAGATAATCATGAAAGACAACATATCAGATTCGTGTTTCAACTGTGTTCCTTCAAATTTTTTTGTTTTTGCTTTGTAATACACCGAGCACATGACAAACACAAGACCATTCTCTACATTACTGCACATTGTTGCTACTGCATGACATCTAAAGTTTTCACATTTGTAACTTGGTGAAAAGTCTTTTTGCTTGGGTGGCTGTATATATGTACACACTATATACAATGATACACACTGTGGCAATAGCCAGAATGCAAAGTGACTGTAAAATGTTAAAGTAATTCTTACACACATCTCTGGGGTTCGTTATATATATATTTATTTTTGAATCAGGTTATCATAAACAGTGAGATTAACACCAAACTCACTTCTTACTAAGTGACTCTCATGCTACCTTTGTATATATAAGTATCATGTATATATAGTCGTGTTTATCATTAACTAACACATTTACACTACAGACCTGATAGAGGCTTCCACTGATATCAAAATGTCTCTGAGCCATAGCTACCAACTGGAACACACGCAGGAGCAACTGCGGTTGCATCGAATGTCTACATCATCGACCATTCAGCTCACTCTGGACATTGACCAAACTCTGTACTGACCTACTCTAGTCCCCGATTCGCAACGCACTCCCTGTTAGTTATCGGAGCAAAGTTGACAAAAAGGAGAAGAAAAGATAATAGAAAACCTGCTACCATAGGGTACACCGAAGATTAGATATATAATTTTACAGGTAACAGTGTACAACCGCTACCACCACCATCGGACAAATCCTCGACAAGATGTCTCTGAGTTGTCTTTCTTCGCCATTCTCACTTATTGTTATGTTTCTCCATGGTCCACTAAACCTTCACATTATTGTCCTTATTAATAGCGCAACTGCACTAGTTCACCATGTTCAACCTTGTAACAGGTTGCTTCATACTTCTGATGTTGTATCTCGTATTCACAAGCTGCTCATCCTGTGTAGCTCGACCTTGACAGCACGGCTTGCTCCCTGGGGGGTAAAGAAGATAGATGGAGAAAATGATCAGGAGGGGGTCTTAGCAAAGCGACCATTGTGGCTCGTTCCTTCATAAGGTAGTAAACCAACTCAAAAATACTCCTGCAGTAGCACAAGACTACTTCCTCTATATAAAAATCCTACTGCTCATGTATGACAAGGTAATGTCTTTGTCGTATATGTCTCGTTGAGCATCTGAGCATCGTTTCACGATACCGTCATGAGTATAAGTTCACATCTCATCGAAAGTCATGTTAAACTTAATACACGCATTGCGACTGGTTGTCGGCGAACTTGTACTTATGGGGGTTTTGTGAAACGCTGCCCTGGTTTCAGTTTGCTGCAGGAGGCTTTTTGTGAGGTGCTTTGCCGCATCATCAAGGTACAAGTCATCGGTCCACCCATCTAAGTCCTGTGTATTGATGAACCCTCATCTGACATAGTTTCCCACCAGTTCTCTTCTTTCCCATGTTTAATATGAGGAGAGGGAGCAGGTCTAGGAGCCACAAGCCGCTAGCCATCTCTTCTATAATGTTACACACACGCAAACTAAACAGGTCAACGCGCTACATCAAGTGCTTCTCAGCCAATAATGTGTGCTTGTTGGGTGATGAACACATATATTTGTCTTTCATGATGCTTTCAAACAAGAACATAAAATATGATCTAGTTTCTTGCTTGCACAGGATACACAGCCATACTACACAGACTGTGAATCTATATGTTTGCATAATATATATGGATATATACAGAACAGGCGGGAGGCCACACTCACAAACCAAAACGAGGGGGAGCTGTCATGCATACTACTGCGTTTTACGAGAGCCACCTGTACTCCGAATCGGTCTGTGTACGAGTAGAGGGCGGGGCTATCGCAACTGGACCTACCTTATAACTGGGTCTCAAAGCTGGTTCCAGTACCGGTGCTGAAGGACACCATGGGGGCGGCGTCCTGGTCCTGCTTGGTCGTCTCGATGTCGTAGGTGTTGTCGGGGGACATGAACTCGTGGACCGAGTTACTCAGGCTCTTGCGCTCGATACGGTGTTGGAGACCTGACTGGAAAGCGTGCACAACACGGATCTGATGGGAGGAGAACAATACCAGAGGGAGAGAGGGTCACACACCAATGCACAATCCAAGCACATATGATTTTCATACCACTTTGGGCTTCAAGCTCGCATTAGTAAGGCAGGGTGGGTGGTGGATTCATCTACAGGGTTTTGTTTAAAGCTGTCTGCAGCAAGGTCACATTAAAGGGTTATCGTCATGGCTACAACTACATCACGATGAAGAAGAGAATGTTTTCTTTCTTCATAAAAATGAAAATGAAAGCTAAACCAGTCAGATTTAAGGTTCTTTTCTCTCTCTTTTAATTTTTTTTAATGCCCCCTGTTGGCTTTCTTGCCTGTGTTCATGTACTGCACTGGTTTTTAAAGTTTAATAACATCCCTTACAGGCTTGCCAATCATATTCATTCAACTTTAGAACTCCTCTCTGATAAAAAAAAAAAAAACGTCCGTAACTTGCTGCACAAGTCATTTGTTTGGATACATCGTCAAGGTAAATCACTACGCAAGAGATACACCGAAGCGATTGCAACAAGGAAAAAACAACAGAGACACACCATCATCAAACCCAGGCATTTATAAGAGAAGCTGGAAAATCAAATCAAATTAAAATATACTGATACAACGGGATCACACTGATGCAAAGGGGTAACTCCAGGCAGGGTAGAGAAATATATATATATACCGGTATACAACCATACCACAATCAGTCTCATGCAATACATAAGAACTCAGTGGGGGAAAGGAAAAGTTTGAAGTACCGGTAACACACCATATGACGCATATGCAAAGGAGATAGTCAGGATGGGAATATGATTATCCCTCATGTACCAATGATACTGCGATCTCACAACCTATGTTATCTCGTAACTTAATCTGTTGGTTACAATTAAATTTTAGTTTTTGGCATAGACTCTAGCCCAATTTTTCTTCAACTTAATGTTCTGCTATGTGTGCTCATATTAAATAGTGTCCAGGGCAGTGTTTCATGAAACCGTCATAAGTATAAGTTCACCTAAATCCCATTGAAACTTGTGTTAAACTTAGTACACGCATTTCAATGGGATGTCTGTGAACTTGAACTTACGACGGTTTCATGAAACGCGGCCCTGCTATCATCATAACATTGTGTTCAGTCAATACCACTGAACACTTTTAAAATGATAAGCTGTTTCAAGTGACACCAAGAAAAAAATTGAAAAATATCAATGAAAAAATTGAGAAAGGTTTGAATAGTTTGAACTATGAATAACATCACAGTGGAACATCTGTCTTTTTATATCTACTTGTGTATTGTCATTACGAATTCAATTTTATACAGAACTTGCCAGTTTCCTAATTTAAATAGTGTACTATATCACATTATAATGGATAAACAACCAAATACAGGAAACACTGAAAGAACATCTCTGAAAAGTACATGTATAATATTTTACTGACACTGGATTCTTATATCATGTATAGGGATATAAAAGTGGAGAAGGTACTACATGTATTTTTTTTAGATATTGTAACAATTCTAAAGGAAAAACAATAAAGCTATTAAGAAAGAGTACTATAAATATTTGTGTGTAAATAAGTAGGGTATGTGAATAAATAGTGAAAAATAAGATAGGAAAAAAACACTCTTCATATCTCTAAAGGTGAAGTACGATGAATGATGAATTAAATTTCATTTACACCACAATTACTTAACATAGTTTGAGAATAACAAGAACATTCTAAATTAAAGATGATTATGAGAACTGAAATTTCAGGATTTTGGTTTCAAGTATATTTCTTTGGAAATAGATCAACAAATAAAAGGAGTTGCAGAAGATACTGAAGGCATACATCAAAGGTTTTCTTGCAGTTTATAGCAATACTCATAATATGAATAGAGAACGATATATATTTTAAATGATTTTACATGATTTTAAAATGTTCAATATTCAGAAAAAGGAGGTAATGCAATTACATGCATTAAATTATACTTCAAACAATACAACTACAGTAACATGAGATCGGGAGGCAGGGTAGACATTTTAAAGTTTCACAGTATAACATTGATGCCTTATTTAACAAAGAATGAATATGAGATAAAGACAATTATCACCATCCCAAAGAAAAAAGATCCTGCCATCCCGCAACTAGGGCACAAGAGGTAGCAATTAAAAAAGGAGTAACCACTATAGAGGGCTAGTTGTTTGAGGGTAAGCATTTTTTTGTAACGGGCAGGGGGGAAAGTCTCAGGGAAAATTTCAGTGGGTTATTGCCAGGAGGCAGTAATTGATGGAGGGGAAGGGGAGTTTTACCTGTCCCATCTTTAAGATGAAGGTCAGGGTGTCAAGATTGTATGTGTAAGTGTCTAACCATCAAAGAGATTTTCTTGAAGACATAAACAGTACCTTTAGGTGAACTTTAAGATTAATGCTTGTCATTATACCCCCATATATAAATTTCAAAGGGAACAGTCGTACGCAAAAAAATGGCTGCTACAGTAAAGGCAGCAAGGTGAAAGAATGAAATAAGCAAGATTATAGTCAGCACAACTAAAACTAGTGTAAAAGAAGCAATCCCTTGTTCCAAAAAGGCATTTAAAATACGGAACAACAGCAAGAGATGATTTGCAGGCAACGAGTAAACTTCAAGTTGGCAGGAATCATTCTTGATGCATCCAGCTTCAAGAGCGTGCTCTATCTATTCTCCTCCTCCTCCTCCTCCCGTTGTCATGGTGATACATGAAGCGGTTGTCATACAAGAGAGCAAAGCACACTTGATTTGCAAGCAAGAATATACATGGGATAAGGGGGATAAGGGGAGGGGTTGGGGATGTGGACAGATGCTGTGCAAACGTAGATCACACATAGTGCCTCTCCTTAAATGTAATGTTTTTAGAGATTTATTTGAAGAAACTTATTACAACAGACTGTTTCTGTTCCACATGACGTCTTTAAGCAGAGATGTTTAAAGAGTGAAGTGTAAAAGCAACTGAACTTTCACAAATAAACATAAGAACACAAATGAACATGTCTACATGCTGAATAGATGGATTTAGCCTTGTAATTTGTATGAAAGGGACATCGAACCATCTTATAATTGGAATCAAAATGAATGAAAAGCATGGTGAAATGAATATTATAATATGAATTAAAAAAATAAATAACTGAAAATGGAAAGAGTTTGACTAATGAAGAGAACTGCCATGTCAGATCTTGAAGGTCTGGTGTATATATTCAAGACCACAGATTATAAGATGGATATTATTCAACGCCATTTGAAAAAAAAACGCTTGGAGAAGAAGGGAAAGATCATTTACAGGTGAGGGGTGAAAGGGTACGGCAGGCATAGGAGTAAAAAAACAACTGGCAAGGTTGCATTAACCGATTCCTTGCCCTCATCACAAGACACTAGGTCACAACAAGAGAGGCACAATTCAAATTGGTAGAAGAGACTGGTGATGAGACTACTCACAGCACGACTCTGGCCGATGTTAAAGAGTGGGACCGGGAGGGCAGCGTGTGAGAGACGTGGATATTGATTGGAGGAAAAAAAATGGGATAAAAAGCATGAAGAAAAAAAAGGAGAAAAGTAAAATATTTTTTTCAAGAATGGCTAATAAGAAGTGAGAATGAATAGAAGAAGGAAGGAAGGAAAGATGAAAGGAAAAAAAGATGAAAGGAAAAAAAGATGACACCATTCTACAGATGTGGGAAAAAGAAACTTAAAGAGTGTAGTGAGAATGAAGACGAAATGGAGAGTGATACGGACGTGATATTCAATTATTCTTGTCGTTGTTACAGCAGTGTAACAAGTAGAAAGGAAGAAGAATGTAGATCTCAAAGATCAAACTGTTGCCCTCAAAAAAAAAGGAGGTGAAAAAAAGTTTTCCTTGCTCATTATAAGTGGAGGAAAAATTATATTTCTCCATTTGGGTAAATACGAGTGACATGACTTTGAAAGTGGCAAATATCATGTTACATGTGTACAAACACTTTTTTTCCTTCAAATTAGATTTTTAAATATTTGATATCATGAGCGAAAAATTCAATGTGATAGTGATCTGCCTAAGCTTGTGAACATTAAAAGCAAACTTTAGGTAAAAACAAGTTGATAAAATGTCTTCAATCGATTCGAAATTGAACTGATTCTGGTACAAACACAACACCAATAACAGCTCGAAGATACCTCTACACAATAAAGATAAGCAGTTGTACATTTATGGACTTCGTAAACAATGAACCTGATAAACATACACACTATATTAAAATGAGTATTAAAAATATATTCATGTTGAAGGAATAAAAATAAAACTGAAATAAACAGTATTAAAAAATTCATATATTTTCATTTTTTTTTCATCAAATAATTAACGGGACAATATCTGAAATCTTAGTGGGGAAAAAAATACATATCAAATGTGTATAGATTACTAGAATACACAAGAACATACATTATTAAAAAATGTAATAATTCTGGATACACTGCTACATCTTTATTCATTTCAAATGTTTTTGAGTACTTCAAATACCCCTATCCTATCACTGTTCCCTTTCTGATTTTGTCACGGAAATAAACTCATAAGGGGTAGCATGGACTGCAAATTAAATGAATACATAACAGGTTATTGGGAGTGGAATTGCAACTGAAAGAGAGGTTGAAGCAGTTGTGGAACTTAGGTTTAAGGGAATAGGGAGAGTCCTCTGTTTTACTGAAATTATTCACGTTCATTCATTCATTTCAGGGAAAATCATTCCATCCAGCATTTCTCTAAAAAACAACAATGGCTAGGACAACAGAAGTACTCGAGGCAAGAGAGATGACAACAATACGGACTTTCGACAACCTAACTAACAGTTGTTGCAGGTTGAAGAAAGTGAGGTAAAAACAACTGATTGAACAAGCAGACATCGCTGCACAGAGCATTTAGACATGTGACGCAAGCCATGGGGGCGGAACAGTTCATGCAGATGGGGGTGGACAAGACAACTTCAATACGGGGGGAGGAGGGGGTAGGGCTGGTCATACTCGTGACTCGTGAAGGTGTGAAAGAGGATACAAATATTGGAAAAAGAAAAAAGATTGATTTAGAGCAATTGAAAGAGAGAAATAATAGAAGTAAAGCAGGAAATGGAAATAATTAGAAATGGAGTAGCAAAATGAGTTAGTCAGTGAGTGACAAGAGGAGAAAAAAAAAAGGGAACGAAAGGGACGTATCTCATGGAAAATGATATGAGATGAATTTGAAAGAGACAAATCAGTCAGACAAATGACTTAATGGAGTGACAAATCTGACCCCAAAATACCCCAATTGCTGACTTGTATTTCTCATATATTTAATTATCAATCTAGTATTGGTGTTGAAATATAGCTCATTAATAATTTCCTGAAAGATATATCATGCTTCAGAGCTTAGGGTGCATAATTTCCTTGATTTTTCATAAATTATTAAGTGCCCCCAAAACTCATCTTGTTGGGTTATATTCTGAACAGTCATGAAATAGTTCATTTTTCCCCTCAAAGCCATTAACAAAAGCCAAGTTCAACTCTTCCCCAATTAGATAAGTGTCATCAATGGGAAAATAAAACAGAAATGAGAAAAACAGGGTAAAATAGAAGAGGGGATAGTAGACAGATAGGAAAAAAAGGCTGTCATAACTGAAATATTAAAAATTACAGGAAAAAAAGTTGCATTCATGTTAGATAACTTTAAGCATTTTTGAAAGGTAAGCTGCTGTTGTTAGGCATGTGTTAAATCACTTCAGTTTAAAATCATAATCAAAAGTTATTAATAAAGTGAGTGTGCTTGCTCGCTAAAGCTGTCCTGTCCCTCAATTTTAAATCACTGGCATTTTAATCACACTTAAATTTATAGCGATATAAAGGAGGAAAATATAATATGTATAATATAAAACAATGCATTTTTAAAGGTATAGGCAGAAAAACCAGAAAATCATGTTAAAGCAATTTAAATGAGGGTTACTTTTCAAGTATTTAGGCTTTATTCATGGATAGATCTTGCGATATTTAAGAATGTCAGATGCAAAGCCTGTTGCAAAAATATATGAGTGCAAATGGGGTGATAACCATATAATGAAATGAAAAACATAAATGAGCAAAATGGTCGGTCAATGAAAGGGGTGATGGCTGTATTCTAAAATGGATGTGTTTCTAATCAGAGTGTTTTGATAGATGCTGCTGTTCTCCTATTACTTTATAATTCATTCCAAACATAATGTTCATCCTTTGTTTTAAATTGTATTATCTTAACCAAATCATAGCCTCCGATCCAACACATCTCAGTAGCTAATCAGTTTAACATCACAGATCTAGCAAAATATCTTTGCCTAGAATAGTAAACAAATGTTTGGATAAATGTCCTGCAAATCCGATTTATTGGTCACAGCAATTGAAAATCCAGATCTGATTATTGTAAACTTTTGAACAGCATATTCTATGAAGAAATCTTGAAGACAAAACTGCTACACTAGTGCAAAAAAAAGAGTCATATCAGATTATCAATGTCATATGATAAAATTCATAAAAATAAAAAAAAATAAAAAAAAAATAAAAAAATAGGTTTTGTTTGAACTGAACTTCAGACACGTGCAAAGTGCCCCCCCCCATGCTATATCATTAAACTATCTTCTACTGTTTATTTTCAAAATATCAAATTTGAATTGAACACCTAGAGGAGAATAAAGTATATGAGTAAATACATTAGCACAAAAAAGGTGCTGATCTTGTCTGCAGCCAGCACATGGGCCAAATGCCCCCCCCCCCTAATCGTCCTCCCTACCATTTGTCAATACCCAGACGCACTGGGTACTCTCAGAATCACGCAACAAACATCTTAGAAACCCAGATGCGTCCTTGGTTGTGATGATGATGCGGTTGCCTAGTTACCTGTTGCTGAAGTCTTGTCAGCCCCCTCATCCACAGGATCTGGGCCCGTTTATGGTCCACCCTGTCGGGATGGTCTTCGTCGATGGGCGTCATAGAGGGTAGATGTTCCGGCTCGCTGCTGCGGCCGATCGTGCAGATGCGGGGCAGCTGCCTGGTGGGGACGTAAGCGATGATCTGCTGCCAGAGCAATGAGGAGAGACCCAGAAAGAAACACCACATCCACTCATCCAGGGTCAGGCCCGTCGAGCTGAACACTACGCTACCAAACTGTATTAATATTACCTGTGGACAGAAAACAGACACCCAATAAATTGTTTTTCACTGAATGAAAAGAGAGAAGATTCGAGCAAAGAATCAAGGTTGGATGGCACCCAACCTTAATCACAGTAAACAAATGTTCTCAATGATCTGAATTCAATTCATGAGTTTGCATATTCACAGTGACTTTGCATTAATTAAGCGCAGCTCATCGCCTCAGCTATATAGGCGAGCCAATCAGATCCACATGTAATGTCGTCACTGTAAATGCGGCAAATTTCACCCCTGTTGACCCGCAATTTTGAGGGATGTGGAAAATGAGGTTTTAATATGCTTAAGTGCAATACTGAAAAGGGAAAATGTATTCCTATATATTTGTATTCTACCTTCATTCAGCTTTCCGTTGATAAAAGTTGTATTTTCATTGGATAGGGTCTTCGAGTCAAACCTGTACTTACTTGAACGATTAAGGTGCCAATGATAACTATGAGGAAAATGGGATTGGTGTGGATACTGGAGAAGACGTTTCGCTCGCCGTGAACTTTGCGCGAGTTGATTTCATTGAAAATTTGCAATAGTACAAAGGTGTTGAAGATGATGGTAAAATGGTGAGTCGGTCTCCCGGATGGGCCCTCTTGTGAACCATCATCTATATCGAATAGCTGTGGACCTAGAGGGAGGGATGGAGAGAATTAGGAAAGGTTAGGGAACGGTTGAATAAACATCTCAAGAAAATAGAGCATATGCAGTGAGGATAGAATTGGCAGTGGGATGGGAACAATTTGATCCAAAAAATAATTTTTTTAAAGATAGAAAGAGCCTTCATAAATGAATACATCAAAAATATCTGCAAATGCATTTCATTGCACATAATTACTGAAACATGCTTGCCATGTCAGAATTGTTTAAAGAAGCCTCGCCTCTCAATAAACAAATGTCACTTTTTACCTCTGACATGGAGCGTTCCCATATGTGTTCAACACACAGAATGTATGTAATTTATTGTGTCTTCCTATGAAACGAAGATCCCTTTAGAACTAATTTCATTAATGACAAAAAAAGTCTCTTTACTTTTGAAGGTAAAGGGACACTTTCCCCTGCTTAAGTACTAACAACTGCCATAACAGAAGCGGCATGAGCAACAAGAACAAGAGACATGTTATTTGCTCTCTGCAAGTTTTTGATAAATTACTGGGTAAAACAAATGAACAATCAAGGTGAAAGCAAGAGGAGTGATATCTCAAACACTTTGACACAGATTCAACACCATTCTATAGCTCTCATCAAACAACACTGATGTGGCACTCACCTGCATACAGAATAGTAAATATTATAACAATTTGGAAGGCAGCATGACCTATAATATTCCTCATCATAATTCTAGATATAAGGGGCTTGGTACGGCCGTAGGGCTTGCGTTTGAGCAAGCCTTCCGTGGGCATCTCGGTGGCCAGGGCCAGCGAGGCGAAGGAATCCATGATGAGATTGACCCACAGCATCTGAATGGCACGCAGGGGACTATCCTGTATGGGGAGGGGTTGGTGGGGGAGAAAAAGGTTTAACAGGAATGTATTCTTATCTAAAAGCGCTGAACGTCATTCCCTGCCCTCTTTAAAATATCCTTTAAAATCGCTGAACGTCATTTCCTGCCCTCTTCAAAATATCCTTTAAAATCGCCGAACGTCATTTCCTGCCGTCTTCAAAATATCCTTTAAAATCGCCGAACGTCATTTCCTGCCCTCTTCAAAATATCCTTTAAAATCAACTATGATACATAGTCGTAACCACATATTCATCAAGAGAGATTCATCTGTGATTGAAATTCCTAAATGGGATGTATTTTTTGTCTACTTGATTTCCAAAATGGCAGACTAAGACGTAGAACAATCATACTTGATAGACACAAATAATGACAATAAATCCTAAACAAAACCGGTTGAAAACAAAGAGACACAAGACAATAAATTTGTTCTCATTTGCTTTCTCCTTCATTTGAAAATAAAAATTATGCTGCAAAATAATGTGTCTAAGAAAGACCATGCATTCGTGTTCTACTAGGACAGACTTTACCCCATATTACGTCTTGCAATGAAAAAGAAAATATAATCTCGGAAGAAAATCATCAATGTCTGCATTGGGTAGCCCAGATAAAAAAAAACTTAAATTTACTCCACTCGATTGGTTCAGCTTAACTCTACATTAGCTTTTCCATTATTTGTCTGCCTTATACAAGAATAGTTCCTCTTCAAATAATTATAAGAAAATACTTACATTGATTGTGCATGCTCCCACGAACGCTACTGTAACGGCAACTAAATTGACGGTAAGCTGGAATTGGAGGAATTTGGCGATGGAGTCGTAGACATTACGCCCCCACATGACAGCCTTCACAATGCTGGTGAAGTTGTCGTCTGTTAAGATGATATCGGATGCTTCCTTGGCTACATCAGTACCAGCCAAACCCTAATATAAACAAATAAAAAAAGTTAAAAATGTCACATATGTCCTTTGCAATTCATATTTTACCATTATAAGAGACAATAACATCGGACACTATTTAAAAAGAAACAAAACTAATTCTAAAGAACGCGGAGATATGTATCTTTGATTAGATTATATACCAGTACAAAATGTACTTGTGATCACACCAAACTCAGAGAATTATAAAAGAGAAATACCAATGTGAGATTTTCTTATCAAGTGGACTAAAATAATCTTGTTAAAAACACTGCTAAAGGGCAATGTACATTACTAGGATAGAGATTGGCATAAGGAAGACACAGAGATGACTGAGCACTGGTAAGATTGACATTAGGAAAGAGAATGAACAAATTTAAAATGTTTCATATGCACGCTCAAAACTTTTGGATGACTGACCATGAGCTGGAGAAGAAGAAAAAAATCTCATAGGAATTACTTCAAGATGTCAATACAATCATATCTTCTGCTGAGAGCCAGGAGGCCGAGGGTGTTAGCAAACAATAGGTCAAATGTCAAATGTCATGGAATAGACATCATTCTTACCATGGCAAATCCAACATCAGCCTTCTTGAGAGCGGGTGCATCGTTGGTTCCATCTCCTGTGACAGCTACCACCTCCCTGTTGGATGTAAGCTTACTGTCGATGATGCCTTTGACCAAGGTGTGCTTGTCTGTGGGCGAGGAACGGGCCAACACCCTCAGTTTGGGCCAGACCTTGTCCAGCAGGTGCTGCTTGATCTAAAGAAGAGAATGATATCATATGGGGTGTCAGGTGGGGTGTCAGGTGGGGTGTCAGGTGGGATTGTGGCAAGGGATGAAGGACATGAACAAAGTGACATCTGAATGTTTAGAACTTTCTACCAGGTAGATGAAAAGATACAGAGAAACACATACACAATGCATTTTTTCTATGGTAGGTCTACACGCATGCTCTCTACAACACTTACCGGTATCTAACATTACTAATCTTCGTACACATCAATTCATGCTGTATTTTACATAACTTATTTGGTAAAAATGATTCATATAATATACATTTATTTCATTCCAACCTATCTACACTTTTCTTTTCAACAAGTCAAAGAATTCTGAAAAATTCATTAGCCTCAATTGCCAACTACACACATAATTCTACAAAGTTTGGCATTTGTTTGGCAGACACACATCATGTGCTTCACATCTGTGTCTTATAACACAGATTACAGGGTACACAAAGGTGGCCACGGTTGCTTGCAGAGCTCTATCAATTTCTGTCTCCATAACATTGCCTCTTGCCATTAAAGATAAACTTGAGTTCTGGTAATGCGATTGCATTGTGAAAGAAAAGGTGTGGAATGGATCAGAAAAGTTGATCATATAGCATGTAAGTAATGGTGTGTAATGCAAGGTTCTGGAGTCATCAAAATCATCATAAATTTGGCAGAGTCTTGGTAAAGTAACAATCACTTACACAGAAAGATGTATATGGGACAACACACATGGTGTCGGGGCTAGTACTACCCTGATTTCCTTATCTTTCTATGCTCATTACTCAGCCAGTATACATTTTCTTCCAAAATTGTTTGGCACATGACATTTATTTGTAATCTTGAACATTCAGTGTAAGTTTCGTTAGATTCTGTGAGAATTCATTTTCTTTTTTTTACCAGAACTCAAGTTATCTTTAATTTACATGTTTTGTTTTGTTTTCCTGTGTCATGTTTGAATAGGTCTAGGGGGGGGGGGGGGAGGTGACTTACCACTCCATTCTCTGTGATTCTCCTGTTGAACTCCCTTCCTTCCATGACCAGGGCATCATCCCCCTGCTTCAGGATGCCACACTTGACGGCTATGGAGCGCGCTGTGTTCACGTTATCACCAGTCACCATACGTACGGTGATACCGGCACTCTGGCAATCGGCAATGGCTGGTGGAACCTGCAACATTCACAAAAACAAAAACAATCTTATTTTTAACCAAAAACTGAAGATGCCAGATATTTAAATGATAGATTTCAACTGCTCGAAGGTAGGTAATGATTCAGCTTTTGTTCCATTTTTGTTCTTCTTCAAAACATCAATCTATCCTATATTTAAACTGGAATCAATGATCGCAATTGCCTAATGTCCAAGGCAACCACAGGACTTTAGATAATACATAAATCAGCGAGTATTTAACCTTGAAGATCCAATGTTAGTTAGTTTGAATTCTATGAGAATGTACTTGCTTTGTCGAAATATAGGGTAATGAAGGACTGGAATTCAGGTTCTAGGCTAGGTTTTGATTAAGGAATAGGAGCAAAGCTTGGTGAAGTGTTAGGTCAAAAGTTGAATTCAAAAATTGGTCAGGATGAGAAATAAGACCATATAGCAATTGTTGCAGGAGCACCGTACCTCATTCCTGACTGGATCCTCAATGCCAACCAGAGCGATGCAGGTCAGTTCCTTGACCACGGTGTTCTCTTTCTCCCACTGGGGTGTAGGTTTGTCCCTGGTGATATCCTTGTAGGCCAGACAGAGTGTCCTCAGACCTTCCATGGCCCACTTCTCAATCACCTCCTTGACGATCTTCTCCTTCTCGCTGGCAGGGAATGGCTGCGCCTCACCCGACTCATCAAGGATGTACTCACACCTAGACACGAGCATAAATCGTGCGTAAATATTTATTCTATGCAAAATAACTGAGACAAATAGAAACTGGAAATCACTGAACTTTTGATGAGTTCTTAGATGCAGCTCTATTGGCTTACATGACCTTCATCAAACATGATATTAAAAAATAAAAAATAAAAAAAATATAAAGCCTGTAGAATTAAAGCGATGAAAATTTACAAGAAGGAAGCATTATTTTTAAGCTAAGACTAAATTCTTCCAAAGACTAGACCCTAAAATTCCGTCAAGGACCATTAACATTTTTCATTCAGTCATACATATGCTATATTTAGTATTTATAGCAATGCAGGAATTTCTTCACACCTGGTACCAAACAGCTATACCATGTATGACCCGGACAACCTTAGACAAAATTTCTTTTATAGGGAACAAGCACCTGTTGGGATTTACATCCTAAACCTAATATCAAGTCTACTTGAACACTGCAGTAACCCAGTTCATTAACTAAGTTTGAAAGCATGATCTCTGATGCTCCCTTGGAACAGAGCCTGAAGCCTCCCTCAGGAAAAGGGATGACCATATTAAGAAACGAACTCAGACTTGAACCTACAACCTTATGAAAAGTCCTCCATCAAACTGTACCCTCTGCATTCCTGAACTTACTTTGAAAGCATGATCTCTGAAGCACCCTTAGAGTACATCCTGAAACATCCTTCAGGGAGAGGGATGACCATATTAAAAGACAAACTCAGACTTGAATCTACAACCTTATGAAAAGTCCTCCATCAAACTGTACCCTCTGCATTCCTGAACTTACTTTGAAAGCATGATCTCTGAAGCACCCTTAGAGTACATCCTGAAACATCCTTCAGGGAGAGGGATGACCATATTAAAAGACAAACTCAGACTTGAATCTACAACCTTATGAAAAGTCATCCATAAAACTGTGCCCTCTATTCCTGAACTTACTTTGAAAGCATGATCTCTGAAGCGCCCTTAGAGTACATCCTGAAGCCTCCTTCAGGTAGAGGGATGACCATATTAAAAGACGAACTCAGACTTGAACCTACAACTTTATGAAAAGTCCTCCATTAAACTGTGAACTTACTTTGAACTATGAACTTTGAATTTTGAACTATGAACTTACTTTGAAAGCATGATCTCTGAAGCGCCCTTAGAGTACATCCTGAACCCTCCTTCGGGGAGAGGGACGATCGTACTCATGGACTTCCTGGCTGAGTTGAAGGTGTACACGCATGTGTACTTCTCCACCGGCCATCGATCCCTTGAAAGCTGGTACTCTTCGTGAAGATCCAGTACGAAACCCAAGAGGGCGCACTCTGTCTTATTGCCAATTTGACGAGGCATTTCACCTTGCTGTTCAGCAGGCTGTGTGTGGGTAGAGGGAAAAGAAGGGGATAGGATTAATAGGTACATGCAGATTGTTTAATTGAAATACCAATGAGGAGGATTTCTTAATGAGAAAAACGGGTGGACTTGTAGACTTATACTGTTTATTAAGGTTACTTGCTATGAGAAGGAGAACCACAGAATACCCCCACCGCACAAGTAATCGTAACCTCTTAACCCTAACACTGACCCTACCCCTGTTATTGTACTGACCATTATGGTCCAACACTGACCCTAACCCTGGAATATTGTACTGCCCATTAGGGTCTAACACTGACCCTAACCATGTAACATTGTACTGACCATTAGGGTCTAACACTGACCCTACCCCTGTGACAATGTACTGACCATTAGGGTCGAACAGACCAACACTGACCCTAACCCTGTAACATTGTACTGACCATTAGGGTCTAACACTGTCCCTAACCCTGTAACATTGTACTGACCATTAGGGTCTAACAATGACCATAACTCGGTAACATTGTACCGATGCAGGATAGAGTATTCATCAAGTAAGTCCCTTTCCATTTCATCTCCTTGAAATATGATGGTTAAATTAAAATATAACCCAAACAACTTTGTGTGCAGCACCCTTTAATGAATGAAACATCAACATGAAGTACATCTTTAAAGTGGCTTGTTTTTCTTGGCTCTAGAGACAATCCTGCTTGTAGGTTTGCACATTTATTGGTCGACGGGTTTTTCTAGATCACATCGCCCTCAGGGGGTACATCGTTTTCTCTTTCCAGCTCTTCTCGCCCTCCCTTACTCTTACTTCAAACTTCCTCATTCACTCAAATAATCCTTATTAAATAAATGTAGAGCTTGGGATTGGCTAGTTATGGATCGATCGTCTAAATGAGAAAACAATGCCCTGGGGCAACATTATGTCATCATTTTGTTCACACCAGTGCGCGAAGGTGAACAAACATGGGCGTGCTTTCCTGGATAGGGGGACATGTGCATACAGGGGGACATACTGTGTCAACATACAAGCATGAATGTCTGGGCTATATTTGTACTTTGTCTCCTAATTCAGACAATTTTTTTATACCTTAGACTGACAGGTATTGCTGTTATACTTTGATTTACATGGGATAACTAACTATCAAGAACTTTTGGAAAGTGTCACCTATTTCTTATTGTTATTATTTAGTTAATACCCCCCCCCCCCCTTATTTCAGCCTACTCTGGGCAAATTTAATTCATAAATTTATGCAGGAAGAAAATAAGTCAAAAATTGGGGTGATTTGGAAGAGAGTCTGGTTTTGAAGACTAGATGTCTAAGGGAGTGACTCATGCGGATAAAAACATGGATAGCATGCCGGCCCCCAAGCGATATGTTTCTTTAAAACCCATTAAAATGCACAGCTTATTGCACCAGCATGAACATTGTCTACTCACTTTGATTGAAACTACCCTCTGAGACGTACAGACAAGCGTTTACATGTATTGTTCATTCACTTTACTTTATGCACAGTTTAACAAAATGTCCCCTACTCCTCTCAATATTGTTTCGTCCAAGTGATACATTGTTCCATGTGTAAAATGAAGTGTCCATCAACTTATCATGGTGTAAACAGAGCAAAACAATCCTCTCACACAAACTAGTATATATAAGATTACTCCCCCAAAAAATGTTTCTAGTTAAAGCCAACAGAGAAGGTCTATTTTGCGGAGTGCTGAAACATGTCTTGTGAAGAATGACATGAATCTCCAGCAAAAAATGTCATAAATGTTTCATTACATTTTAACCTTTGAACATGTCCATCATGAATAACTCCTTGAAGAAAAACAACGGGCAAGGCTATTCTTAAGAGAATTTGGGCATTTCTGGGGAGGGGGAGGGGGGGGGGGGGATATCACCCCTTCCTTCAACCAGAGCATGTGCACCTTCTGTTTTAATAGTAAAGACTGGATGGAAAAGTGGATATCTCTTCTTGTCCACAGTTGGAGGCCACAGGGATGCAAATCATTCAGTGGACCGTCACTAGACATTTCACGTCTGAATGAACACTCTGCTATTTTGGACAGACCATGGCCATTTGGGCATTGAGAGGAGACAACCTGAAACACAGTCTGACATGTATCACCTTCTCTGATCTCAGGGATTCTTGAAGAGACCATCTCTCAATTCTCTGATGGGGTTTTTCAAGAGATGAAGCAGTGAAAATACAAAGGGCCAACCAAACTAGACTTACTTGGAAGAAATGACAATGACAAGCTTATTCACTGGGAGATATTGAACACACATGTGTAAGCATGTGCACACAGTGGCCTGAATTCATTTAATGTTAGCAACTTTTTTAATCTATCCCATGTTTGTATGCTTTTATCCATCTCTTAATTGGTCAAGTGTGCTATAAACATCCTACATGTGTGTTAATGATAGACTTTTCTACTGGTTATTTAGTAAAGTTACATCCTATCATACAACATGCAGTCTCAAGCATGTTTTTTGTTGCCCTTAAAAGAAAAAATGTCTTTCTCAATCACAAATTTTGAAAGTCCCCCCCCCCCCCTCCCCCAATTTTTTTGCCCTCTCCACTTATCAGGAATAAGGGGCCATTCCTCTAAATGATGCCTCTGAAGCAGCCTGTAATACGTCTCACAAAGAGTTATTACGTTGAAGAAAAGGGCAAATTCCATTATACCTGTCCGTTCCAGTACAACTTAAGCTCCTTTCTACAGGATATAATGATCAGACGGACATTTCACCTTTAGAGGGTTACTAAAAATCTAGACCTAGCTGATATTAAAAAGCACTCTTTCCATTTGTGTGATGGGCAATGCAGTCTGTCTTGCTTCTAGCAATCTCACGATTGATTGGCAGAGGCATGTCGGCGACGACACAAAACTCGTTCATCCGGAAGCTTCTACCATACCTGGTAACAGTCTGGATACACGGTGGTTGTCAGGAGTTATAACACTTGAAAATGTGAGAAGCTTTCAAGGTCTGACACCACTGCTTGCGTCAAAGAAGCATGGTTAAAGTCATGATTGAAGAGCAGAAGAAGGGTAGGGGGGGGGGATTCAAGGAGACTCCTGCAAGACACCAGGTTGCTGGACATCGTTTTAATCTCAGGGATATAGGTTGGTTTATCTAATGAAGTGGAAGTGACACCCTGACAGGTTAAAGCATCTTATGCATTGTACAATATGAGGCTTGGGAAAGCCTAAACTTGAGAGGTGTCAGGGCTGGAAGTGACTTTAAACCCTGGATAATGGCATCCCTGTAATCAGAAAGGGGGGGGGGGGGCTTGATAGTACTTTTTAAAATCAAAGAAACTATCATGGTCTTTGTCTCTCTTTCTTTCTTCATTGATTTCTTACCAGAATCCTAGAGGAGTAGCTGCTGTTGACCGAGATGCCTTCCACCAGAAGATGCCTTGCCTCACTGTCAATCTCGTTGTTCCCTGGTGTCTCAACAAACATCTTACGTCCGATGAAGCTCTTGACGACCGTCATTCTGTTGGTGGTCAGGGTGCCTGTCTTGTCGGAACAGATCGCCGTGGCATTACCCATGGTCTCGCAGGCGTCCAGATGCCTAACCAAGTTGTTATCGTGCAACATTTTCTGTGGATGGGAAAAGTGAGGTATATTGATTGAAAAGATGAAGTTTAACCATTTAAACAAAGCATATATGCTGAAGGAGCATGTTAAAGAGAACGATGATGAGAGAGGAACTGATCAATATCAGACAGAGATGTCGGAGAGAGAAAACAGGAAAACACTAATACGAAAGCGATCCTATTAGAGGACGAAGAAACTTGGAGGAAAATAAAAGAGGTAAACAGGAGGAAAGGGAGGAGGAGAAAAAGAAGCAACAGTTAATAAATACATCCATTCTGTACATACCTTGACAGAATATGCCAAAGAAATGGTCACAGCCAGAGGGAGACCTTCCGGAACAGCTACCACCAACACGGTTACACCAATGATGAAGAAGTCTACAAACTCCTGCAAGTGACTGTTGTTCCAGCTATTCTTGTGGATGCCATACTCCACGATGCAGAACCGGCAAATTAAGACTAATGTGGTCAGTACGGCAACAGTGCAACCTGTTGGGCAAGACAAGTCATTTGAAATCTTGAGTCATGCAACATTTAGACGTATAACAACTAATTTTTTGTTTGTTGTAAATGCTGATCCTTTTCTCAAGAATGTTTGAATCAAAGGACATGTCGTCGGCCGGCTGGCAGAAGGGCGTTTTCGAATTATTTGCATTTAAAGATTTGTTTTATATTTAAACTGCTTTCTGTACCGAAAATTGATTTAAAACTTAAAAGACTAATAGAAACACGGCCACAATTTTTTGTTGGAAATAAATCAGTCTTATAAAATTTTGAGGTGATTTAGTGCTAATGCCCTTCTGCTTAACGCTTCATTTTTTACCTGAAGTTCGAGCTAACGCCCTTCTGCCAGCCAGGCGACGATGTTATCCTTAGGCCATCATCACATCAAATTTGCAATAATGCATGGGTTAGGAATATTACTTTCCTGAACTCTATCCAAGCATGGACCTACTACGAAGTAGGTCCATGATCCAAATATGATTTTTAATGTCTGAGAGGTCTAGGGCACATGTAAGGGGAAATTCAATTTCAAGGTACACTGACCTGCGTAACCAATTTGGATGGCCAATTTGGTGAGCTTGCCCTGGAGCACAGATTTCCCATCCGATATGCCCTCATCCCTCTCTGGAATGATCATCTTCTTCTTGCCGTTGTGAGGGGCTTCCCCAGGCATGGTGTCTGGGACCTCTGTCTCTGCGTTGCCATCGGCAGCCTTACCATCAACCGGCACATTATTAGCTGTAGCATGAGAGACAGACAGACAGAACAAGAGATAGAGAGAGTGAGATAGACATGGAGTGGTAGGGAAAGAGAGGGGGGGGGGAGAGAGAGATGGAGGGAGTGAGTGAGAGAGAGAGAGAGAGAGAGAGAGAGAGAGAGAGAGGGGGGGGGGGAGATGGGGGGAATGGGTACAGAGAGTTGTGAAGGTGGGGGAAGACACAGAGTCAGAGAGAAGTGAGAGAGAGAGAGAAAGTGAGAAAAAAAAACACAAAAAGTTATAATTAAGATATGACTGAACACAAATATAAAATTAAAAAATTGTATTAGTGATGTCATAATATTGTCTTGTAGAAGAGAAAGGGGGGGGGGGGGATCTAATACAGTACTGATTAGTAACCATCAGTGGGTAAATATCTGACTATTTATATGTAACAGCCTATATTACTGAAGCGAACTATAACAAAAAGAAAACATTAGGTAACAAAAATGTAGAAACTGTTTTATCAATGAAATTCATCTCACTACTTAATTGAAGTATATAAAGAGTAGTTTTAAGCATCTAATGTTCAAAATCCTTTTCTCTTCTCGAACCCTAAGTACTTGAACCCAAGCCTCCTCTGCCCAGTCTTGGCATCATAAAGTAAAGCATAACGAGAGGGTACCAAAGCTATCCATTCCATCATCAAGGATAAGCCTTCTCGTTCAAGTCTCTCCTGAATGTCTCAAGTGGATAGGGGCTTTCCCTACATCCCTAAGTCATTAAAATGGTCAGGAATTTCACCGCATTCCAGGGCATTCTACCCACAAACTTTCACCTAATTTCTCCCAGCCCTTCCAATTTTCTCACTCACTTTTTAATTCATTCAGGGCTGTCCAAGCAATATTTTTCAACGAGGCAAATTTCAAACAACAACAGAAATACAGAGATAATATTTGTTGATGAAAAATCATAAATAATTGCTTTGTTGCTTTTGATGCTGTCTAGAAGATGATTTCATCACTTTGGGTGACAGTATGAAAAGGGAGGTTCTGTGTTTCTATTTTTACCAAAATTTCTATTATAATTTTGTTTCTCTACCAGAAGCAAACTTTCATAATTTGTATCATAGGCAATGGTACGGCTTCAGGACTGAACAACAAAAAAATGCATTAATCATATTTAAATGCTCAATAGGATACATGTTAAATACCAAATCATTTTTTATATGTTTGTGGGATGGGGCTACCCCTCTGCCCTCAACAGAATTGATCCCCTGCCTTAGATCAGTTTCATTGCTTTTACCGCTAAATATTTCCATGGATGACAGTTAACTCTGACTTTAGGCGGAGATTAATCTTACCCAAATTACTAATCTTCAAGAAGGATAAGACGATACTACAGAAAATACAGATCAAACAACAACAAAAAGTGGAAACACGATTCCCTGCGATTATTTGGAAGTGGATCATTTTATCTTTGCTGTAGTACACTAATCAAGCAGCTATGTTTCAACCCTGCATGTGCGTATCAGGTTCCTAGCTGATCTCTCACATTCTTACATTGTCCGATGATGATATGCGTCCGTCGTTCGTGATAGCAGGGCTTTCGTATCGTCTTTCACTCCCGGAATTTCTTTCCGAGCTTAATCCCACGATGATCTAAATGGGTGTTACCTCTTTACAAGCCTTGAGAAAGGTTTTCTATTTTACGATCAGTAATTAATCTACCCAGGTGCCATAACCGATTGACACTCCTTCTGCTCACTAATAGGTGTTTCAATTTGGAAGGTAATTTATTACAATATATTTATTACAACATATTTATTTCAAAGGCACTGAACTGTCAGAGCTGCAAGATAGCTTTTCCCAACGTTATAGCAATGATTAGGATACACTAACAATATTTCTCTTTCTTGTTTTTAAAATTTAATTTCTCTTTTTAATTTTTTTTTCTTTCTTTACTCTTCCAGTTTTTGTTGTTCTTTCCATTCAAGCCAAATACAAGTTGTAACACTTTTTTGGGGGGCCCTGAGCAGGCATTTTTTCCCTCTTTTCTTCCTCTTTTATTTTAAATGGCTAAAATGATTTCTACACATTTTTCACCTGGCTTTGAAATTTCAACCTGATATCCTAATATATCTAAAAATATCTATGTATGAAAATTATACACCTATATCTTTTTCTCTGATGTAAGTTGAGATAAGCATAATATGAATACAACCTCCATTATATCTTTTGCATCACTGTTGAAAAGTGAATGCATTACACATCAGTCTGCATCATATGAAAACCATAAATAGACCAATATCAGATTTCCTAAATGCCTATTAAATCCAACACATCCAGGTGAACTGATGTTTACATGATTAAAACAAATCTAAATATAGCCCATTACTCATGCTATCTATACACAAGTCATTTCCCAAACAAAGCTAAGAACATGATATGCTGTGGATTATACTTCCTACTCATCTGGCATGGATCCAAATTGATGTTTGTAAATGGGAATTTTGCCCAAAATATCATTTGTAATATGAAAAGGAAACGTAACAGGCCTGGATGTTTGGAATAATTATTGTTTGTCTAAAGGCAGGCGGCCATTAAAGGGGAAGTCCATCCTGATATTATGTTGGTTTTTAATAAAAGCAGAAAAATGAGAGGAACAGGTCAGTGAAAGTTTGAGCAAAATCCTATTAAAACAAAAAGAGTGATTAATTTTTTGAAGTTGGGATCAATCAAACATAAATTGGCAACTCTGAAGTATCTTGCAAGGTACCTTTCTACTTGCTCTATACTATAAAAAATGTCAATCATACATGCACCCTAAATATGATCATTGCAAATATGTTTCTATAAAACCCCTGTATCAAAGAAATCTATTCCCTTATAAATAACTGAGAAAATAAAAGTTTACGAAATTTGTAATTATTTCATGAAAATGAAGTAGTATGGTAAGGCAGGGGTTGTCAAAATGATGGTTAGTTTAATTTCTTGATAAAGGCTTCAAAGCAATTGTTTATAACTTTTCATCTGTGTCACAATGGCTTCAAAACTGTTTGCATAGTAGAAAATAGTGTTCTGGTACTAAAATAAGCCCAGTAATACACTTTGCAACAATTAGCCATGAGTCAAGAAATCAGGCTTAACACAACTTGTAAAAAACAGTGAGTTTTATGAAAATTGTCTTTGCATTAAAAAAAAAATCAAATATCCATATATGTCCTGTACTAACAAAGTTCTTTTTTTTTTTCAATCATGAAAAGTACAAAATCTTCAAATCAAATACAATTCATAAATTCTAATCACTACTGATGCATTGATATTGGCATACTTTTCTTTATCTAGTAAATATCACTAAAATATTGCATGTTAATTCTTCTTTCATTTAAATAATTGCATCACTAAAAATATTGATACAGGATCAAAATAAATCTAATGAATAGTGATTATTTACAAAATTTAGTCTACAAAAATGTCTCAAGAACCAAATGTTCAATTCATTTGGCATTGCGGAATCCATTTTTCAATGCAAAAACTAAAAATAATTTAGATTTTTTTTTTGTTTAAATATTTCTTTTAAAGATACGCTGCTTTATGATTTAACTAATTCAAAAGGCTTTTCATAATTTCAAATTGCTTTGCCCAACTTCTATAATGACATTAAGGACAATCAATACTAAAATATGTCTGTCCAACCTCATCTTTAACAATAATTTTCACAACCTGAATTTGTTTTAAACATCCTCATCATTGATATTTGAATCCAATTAAGCATCACAGAAAACAGATTTTCAAATATCTAATTCTTACCTCGCTTGTAAGGTATATCCTCTTCGATTTCCACACTACAACTGCAATGCACGGAATACATTTTGCCTCATTAATGCACTTTCATCAAAGATCAAAACAAATCATAGAGAAAACCCCAAAGTCAAACAGAAAAGAGACAAAAAAGAGAGATCAAAGTGGCCGACACTCCAAACTTGTTAATCCAATTCTTCACACCCACCCTGTCAAAAATCTACACATCACACCTAGACTTCAGGCAACTGAAATGTGAAATATAGTTCTGGGTGACTCTTGCAGGTCGTAGTAAAATGTTTGCATATCAGATTTCTTAGCATGTGCCAAGTTGAAAACAGGACGGGATCCTCTTCGATTACATTTACAGAGTAATATGTGACCTATAATTAACCCCAAATTATCAGTTTTTTAATATTTAAAAAAAAAATTGAACAAACTATCAGGGGGGAAAAGATGATATCACACACACAGTAGGATCAAAATACACCTCTCTTTTTATGTATAAGTAGTTTAATTGATCGTATTTCTAAAAAAATATTTAATACAGGTATCTCACAAATTCTGGCAACGTTACAGTTTAAAATCTAACTATACATGCATTTTATTTTTATTTGACCTAAATGTTCTAAAAATAAATTGAAATCCTCAAATTTTTCTGTAATTTCAGGGGAAGGCAATGTTTGCTAGGACCAATCAGTTCCATGATTGTCAAATCCCTGAATATCCCTTTTGAAATTCATGTTCATCTCAAAATGAAAGACATATCTCAAATAAATTGCTCAGATTTTCTTGTGCAACCCTCCAGAACATGGAATATAAATGAGCATAACGTCTTTTCTAGACATAATTTGATGGCATTAGACTTGTATGTATTTCCACAATCTAAATATAGCTAACATCATTCTGCAGAGGGGTATCGAGGAAACAACTGGATTTACTAATGAGATTCAGATCTCTCTTTTCGACTAATGTGTCGAGATATGTCGTAAGGGGGAAGAAGACAATAAAACTCTCGGAAGCAATTTTCAATAATCCTGAGAAGTCTGATTGAAAATGAGATAAATTGTTACAATCCTAACACTTTAATGGCTGAATTTGATAGGTATCATATATATTTATCAGTTGGGGAAAAATGTCTGAAGAGTGTGTACCGGTATGGATTGCAGCACTGTTTTCACTCCTCACTAAGCATGAGATTTATACAAATTTGAAGGAAAATGAATGCCCACAATGATTGGAAATGGCATATAAAGTGATTTCTTCTATGCTAAACACCCAGAACAATTGCAAACACATTGCTCTAGAATATTCTGCCTTCCTCGTTATTATGTCAGTATGGAAAAACAACAACTGAAGAAGAAGAAATTTTTTAAAAAATGCATAAAATCTATGATTAAAATCTGAAACAGACAAATATCATGCCTCACAAACATAATTCTGATTAACTATGTGGCAACTGTTATCAATTTATTAGTTAGTAAAGCTAAAGATCGTACGTTTTCAAGTGCCCTTGTCTGTGAATGTGCATAATGGCACACTTTATATACAACATGCAACATAGTTTGAGTCACTATTTTGGCAATATATATATATTCATTGTAAAAGCATGCCAAAATTGTTGGCAAAGTCTGAATTTCCATTTCGAACACTCAAATGTCAACTTTTACATAAAAAATCCTGGATTACATATCGAATGAATGACATTTGCAGACAAAGGGCGTTAATATTGTTGCAATGCTAAAATGACAGAGCCGTCTCTTCCCGCGAAAATGAAATTGTTCTTGATCAAATTTTGATGAGATTTTTTTTGGCACATTTACTGTGCATAACTTCAGGAATGACACAAAAATATTTCTTGCTCATTTTCAAATTAAAAAAATTGAGTCGCTGACGTATAGGGCTCCCCATCATATCTTCCTCTCCACACACATTACAACACATATACAGGTATATACTATATGTACTTGCATTAAATAAAAAAAGAAGAGTGGAAAACAGAAGGAAAAAAAAAGAAACAAACATCTTCCATTAACAAACCACCATAAAGGAAAAATCTGTTATCTCATTTTAATTTAACAATTTTTTGTAAATCCAAGTATTATGTAAGAAACATCATGCACTTAAAACCGAAAGTGAGAAACACCACTGTCTCTGTGCTCACAACTCAGAAACAAGAAAAAGTTATTAGTATGATCATCACAGTAAGTTAGTTTTAGTCCAAGATAGTGCTGTGAATAGCAGACTACAGTATATTCCAAGTTGTGTGGAAAACATGTAACACAGAAAGCAGGGCTCCACACTAACTCTTTTCACATGGGGGTCCTGCCTGAAAATTTAGAGTCTGGGACACTGAACAATTTCCAGAATTTGAGGTCCAGAGAATACATTTCAGGCCTACATTTACAGTACCCATGTCAGTGTCGAGCCCCGCAGTAAGTAATTAAAAGCCTGTTTATTAAGTTATAGAACCTTGTTAGTTCTACATCATTCACAAGAAGGGGATAATCATACCTATGTATATCACTTTTCTCTTGTCTGTCAAGAAAAGAGAACAAAGTCAATAACAGTTTTGGGAAGAAAAAAAATGAGATCGATAACTTGCACAAGTAGGGTATGTACATGAATACAAGTCACTCATGAAAGGCAATTCATTAACGACTCTTCTGTTCTGGACATGTCCAATCGTGAGGTTTTGATTGGCCCAAATATACACCTAATATGTGATATAATATCTCAAATTCTTTCTCGTTACATATTATCTATTATTCCATGTCAATGTATTGATATGCTGCTAACATGGAAATAAACATCACATCACACCACATCAAAAAATAACATTTACAAAAAATGATCCATAAAAAGAAACAAGTTATGTTCTTACTGTCATTATTGCCAATGGCTGCCTCTTCCATCTCCAGCTTCTGGCCTCGTTGACCTTTGACATCTAGTAGGAGGGAGAAGATCTGTCCCGTCTGTGAGTTGAGACCTACAGCCGTCACGACCATCTTCCCGCTTCCTTCCAAGACATGAGTTCCTGCACGGTGACGAAAGAAGAAAGTTTGCGGTTGAGACAGAAATCTTGAACGGTTTTAAGGATTGATTTAACAACTGAAGATTACACCATCACACAATTAACCCCAACCCTAAACCTGACCCTAGAGCCTTATATTGATCCCTGCGCCTGACCCCAATCCTCACTTTCACACTAATCCCAACACTAACCCTAACACTACCCCTGACCATGGCCCTGACCCTAATCCGTATACCTTGTACTGGTGCAGGTTGGGGTTATTATCCCAGTTATATTCAGTTAGCAGGGATGATTCTTCAGTTATCAAAATGCTCTCAATGATGGCCAGTTAAATACATTTACATGAACATACTATGATATTTAATGTAAAATACTGTTAAAATAAATACACTGCAAATAGTAGATGTGAATCATCAGTATACCAATAGATAAAAGAATGGCATACCTAACATATCAAATTGTAAAAATATCCCTAATGAGAAAATTATTCTGGTCATTATTTGGAGAGAAAATCATCTTTAGTCATCTTAGTTCTTGAAATAAACTAGATTTATGGGAAAAAATTGTATGAAAGGAAAGTGTTATTCACATGAAACATGCAAACAATTTTACAAAATCTTGCTATAATTCACATAAAGCGAAGAAAACCAACATAGATCAACACTAACATATACATGTAAGCCAACACGGATCCACATACATGCATTACCATTGGCAGTCCAATCTCCCTACTTTCCTCATCTATGGGTACGTTTATCGTGTCTTGCCACTAGATATGTACATATCGAACCCCACAATACGAACGTGATTTGCGAGATGTCGCGTTTATCGTCTCTTCACGATTCAAAATAAAGGCCTTGTCTCTGCGCAGCTGCTTTGCGCCGTTTGACCCGGGAAGCAGACAGTTTCTCGGAGGTCAACTACACACACATGCTTGTACAACAACATGACACAACACATGGCCCGCGCTAGCCTTCGGACCGGAAATTAACCTGGGAAGGTCCGATCTGTATGTGGGGTTCAAAAAAGCTTTGCATTTATCATGTCTCAGATACGTGATTCTGGCTATGTCATATTCAAAACGCACTTTTTTTGGCATAACAATATGCCCATATCTAAAGATGTTTGAAAAAGGCTTTGCGTTCATTACCTTAAAAATTTGCCTGAAAGACGTTTAAGAAACCTGATTCTAGGCAAAAAATTGGTCAATAAAGGCACCCTATGTGCAGCCTCTGCTTTCATACATATTTTTTGTCTGTATCCTTTATGATTTTTTTTTAGTCTTCAATTTTTTTTCATTGTTGTAAAAGTCTTCAACATTCCCTTTCGTAGATTCTCAGAAAATTGTATTTTAGATATCACCAGAACTGATGATTTCCTTTAAGAATTTCCCCCGCTCTTTTCAAAGAGATAGATTGGCAGAGGTACACGTGTTTAATGTAGCATGCGCAACAGGCGGTCGCCTAATCAATAACAGACTTCGCTTTGAGCTTGAGGTTTTCCAGTTTCCGAATTTGTTTATGCTGTCTATAGCAGGTAGCTACAAATACATTATTTCAACCTAGCATAACTTCACTAGGCAATTACAAGTCTAAATTATATCTATACTTACAAAAATTAAAAAATCAATAGGCGCATGTGTATAGGATTTTGAATTTGATCCGCTCTATTTGGTTGTTTCCAAAATTGGCTTAAGAGCGTGTTTTTCAGAGGCACAAACTTGATATAAAAGATACGATAGTACTATAATAAGGGTGAGCATCTTTCATAAGTTTCATTCCTAATACATGTACATAGCTTTTCTTCATCTATATTACATCTAATGTTGAACATCCAAGAAAGGTTGACTATGCAAGTTGGCATCAGCTGTTTATGCCTACAGGGTGGGACAATGTTACACTCTTTGAAAAGGCATCACTGATTGATCACATGATTAACCTAGTAATTAGAACTGATTATATCCAAATTATATGCAACATTCATGGAATCCATGTACAAATACACTTGTGAAATGTACATACACATCTCATGCCATCCTAAATCTCTTCCAAATGCTTGTAATTATAGGGATATTTCATCATTTTCAATAATGAAAATGAAACAAGTTTAAACGAATGCTGCCAGCAATTGTGTTTCCTCGGATCTCATAAATCTCCCCTACCAATAAACTGCTCTAACGATGATAGGATGGCCCCAGCCAGCTTCATGATTTGATCTGATGCGAGCTCATACCAGAGACGTACCAGAGACAGGATTCCTGCTAACAGTTATAATTTCAGGGCATGAAGTAACTCAATAAATGAAGATCTAATCAAGTCTGTATTACAGAGTGCACGAGGGTAATAATGAGAGTTGGATAGGGGGCATAGCAAGCTCCGATGCTTTGAAGGACCAAGGATGACATTCATCAGATACTGGTATAGGATATCATCAGCAATAGAATGCATAACAATGCATTTTTCTTAAAACTCTGGGCGCGATGAATTCTGTATTGCTTATTAATATAGGTAACCATTAATAATTAAGAAACATGTGATAGAAAAACGTATTGCTCTCCTGGACCTCTCTTTGGTGGACAGTATGGAAATCTCATATTGAGGTTGGAGTATGTTTGTGATATTATCTTTTGGTCCACAACTACCAGCCAAATGATAATTCAATATAAAAACTACTTTTCACACGATAATTTTTGATTTGCACAATAAAAGTGAAATTACCAGAGTAGATTTTTTTTTTTTTTTTGTTGGTTTTTCAGAGCTCAATTTGAGTCTCGCACAGCCATTGGAGAGCTATCCAAAGTCATATCACTATCTGCCTCTATGCATTTATTTAATGGTTAGATGATGATGATAGTGGTTTCCAAAGCGAAACGCAATCAATATGTTTACATCTAAATAGGCAAGAGCATTGCCACGGGGACAATGATCTTGAGGGCGCTATTTAAAATAGAAGCGAGGTCAGAGGTCAATGTATGAGGATAGGAACTCAACCATGAAATAGAGCTTGTATCTCGACTTGTGGAAAAAAGAATGATATACAGTTCACAACAAAATCATTCATATTCTTACCAAGATTTGAATTTTTTTCAATTCTGTTTTTCAGATAATTAGTGTGGAAATAAGCATGGGACAAACAATTGTAAGAATAATTAAGCTATATCATTTACAAAATTCATTTTTCATTCTCAAGGAAAACACAAAAGATTTTAAATCAGAGGTATGAATAATTTTGTTGTTACTGTAAAAAGGAATGAGGCACAGTGTGAAAAATAATCATTGTCGGGATATTGAAAAGACCAGTGACAATAAAATTTACTGTGATAAGAAATTGGTTGGTGGGGAGATGGTAAACCTATCGATAGTGGGTATTGAAGATGGTTACAAAAGAAGATATCCAAACTGAAGAGAAAAAAACAGAATGTGTTTGAGAGCATCGAGTTGAATTGCAGTGACCTAGTTCCCTCTCAAATGACAATATTGTCTGCTAAGAGCCAAATAAGGCATGATCTTTGTATCATTCGACAAACATAATCCCCTTCTGGGTCTCTGCAGACATTTTGTAAATTGAAGAAGTAGTCCAAGGAGTTGTAACATGACTCTTGTAAGAGGCAATTTCTCTAAAATAAATAGTCCAATTTGAAAGACTCTTGCATCTCCTACTTTCCTGACCATCTCTCCATCTCGTATTAATTTCCCTGGTTTAATCTCCAATGCGATCAGATATTTGAACTAAATATGAAGGAAATACCATAAGAGAAAGACCTACTTAGCATTTAAAGTAAAGGGAATATATCTGCTTTCACTACTGAATCGACTTAGTCTTATCTGTAGTAATAATGCAACTAGAGCCATTCGAGGGGAAACATCCCTGCCAATCCACGGCATGCGCTTGATATCTCAGGCAGTGCATAATTCTGTGCATGCTCGCAGCGCATCGGCAGCAAGCAAGCTGACCGGCTTGGATGCACCCGCCCGAAGACCTCCCTCGAGCGGTGTGTCCCGAGAATGACCTACAGAACGCTGCTACCTGAGATAACAGACACGAGATATATGTGGAGGGGCCCTGTCACGGTGAGCAGCAAATTGGGGCTCGGCGACAGGGATACGTGTGTGCGCCGCGGCTCCGAGGAAATGCAGATTTATGAGAGGCTTGATAGGTCAGCGAAGAGTGTTATAAGTAGGTTCTATGATTAGGTTTGTGAGGCTTAGTTTACTTCAAACATTTGTTGAACACTATGGGGATAAACATACATTTACAACACTTTCAACAGCAGCCGTGTCAAGACGGAACTACCAACTGTTGAATCGTTCATAGTGTCATGTTAAGATAACTACATATAGAGTGAACTCTTACAGGCAGTTGTGGACATTATTTGGGGGGGGGGGGAGTGGGGCGAGAGGGGTGAATGTGATTGATTTGAAGTGGTACTTATAGAACACTCTTGCTAGTCATGTGTATTAAAAACAATGTCCTGTTGACTCTTTTACTATCTAACCAAGATAGCAACTTAGCATACAGTGTAATGTTGGAAGTAGGGAGTAAGTGAGAGAAGCTGAAGCAAGTATGTACAAAAAGGCAATTACCTTGTACGAAAATTAAAACATTAAAAAATTTACTTGTTTGTCCGACATGAAAAAAAAACAGAACATCAGTCCTATATATATTTAAATTAAAATAAATATTATGATTTCACACAATCCGATATCTCAATTTGATAAAAGGTACATAGCTGTAATACTCCCTGTACAGACACAAATCAATTGTGATACATGAGAGGACTGATAAAAGAATGATCTCAATTTACCAAAGTCATCAAACCAGCCAGCTCACCAATCAAATACAAGTTAATCTGTTTACATCTCCCACTATTACAAAGGTGCCGATTGCAATATTTAGACCTCTTCAAATTGCCGCTGCTTGCTTTTAATCTCCTCTTTCTTTTCCCCTGCTCTTGCTTTTAAATAAATGCATGCATGAGGCCACGCTACCAAGGAGGGCTTGCC